CCTGCCAAGTTTTTCAAACATCTATTTTACCCACATAATGCAAAATTTGTACTCTGAAAAAATATACATTGTAGAATTTCTTGTGGTCTCTCTAACGCTAAATAAAGTACAGAGTTTGTAATCATATTGGATAATTAGAGGATAGTGAGTTCTTCTATCCTAAAATTATCCTTGAACGCTGTTTCCGTTATATCGTGTGTACAAGTATTTATAAACAAATTTTGACTAATCTACTTTTTACAATTGCAATGTCTCTTACCGAAAGAAATTCACGTTTTTTTAGAACTGCTCTCCTAGAATTCCCCAAAAATGCGACTTAGTTGATCCAGGACGACTGGTTTGGTAGACAGAGGGGACTAGGAGAGTAAAGTAGGTCCTATTGAGGTGGTCCACCCATTATTCCCATGGGTGGCATACCCTGAATTCCATAGGGTCCTTGAGGAGGGCCTTGATTGCCGGCCATAGGAGAATGCAATTGCATTGCAGGACTTTGGATCTGTTGAGTCGGAGTCACTTGTCCACCGGCTGGTGACTGAACGACCTGCAACAATTAAGGTTCCATTTTTAGTCATACTAGACGAGAAAGAAGCTTCTAAAATTTATCGAGCAGTTTAACATGAACATTTACTTGAGACATAACCGGAGGCGGTTCCGAAGGCAGCGTCAAATTAGCTAGTAAATCTCTGACAGCAGGGAAAAGCGAACATTCGGACTGGTTTGCACCGTATTCTGCAAACCTCTTCAATTGTAGAGATGCTGCAGCCATTGCTGAGGCTGGACTAGGATCCCTTTTCTCTGCCAATTGCGTCACATTGGTATTAACATCGTAAACTAATGGTAAAACTAACGAGGGTGTCTCTCCTTGATATGGCAATCCGATTCTGGTTATTTGTAACTAAAATACAGACAGATCAAATTAAATTAAGCGATAGTTATTCTTCCGTATTAAAGCAAAATACACTTACGAAGAAAAGGATTTTATTTCTACAGACGAGCACAGCCGCCATGCCAGTGGGCACAATTGGTGTGCCCGAAGGAGGGATCCTAAGACACCATTGTACGTTCCATTTAAGTTGCTGTTGTTGCACTAACCCAGGCACCAGCTCGAGTTTCATTATTTGCACAAAATCTTTTAAAACGTTAAACGGAACGTTCAACATCCTACCAAATCCAGAGAGTGTATTTGGCTTATATGGAGGAGCTGCGGCTCGAGTATCAAAGAATTTCTCTATAATCTATCGAGAAAAATTAACAAATGAAAATATCAATCGAGTACGAGTAACATACAGTACAATTTACTAAAAAGTTACTTGTAGCTCTTCGAGGGTCCATTGGTCCTTGTGTTCAGGAAGCGGCTGCACTTTTATGTGCAACGACTGTAGATGTTGTGGGTTCAGACCAACTCGACACTGCAAGCTCTCTACTTTGAACTGTACAACCCCAGGCTCTGTACTGTTTATCGCAGTTAGCTGCAAAATAAATTGTAAATTAATCTATAGTTTAAAAACATCAAAATTTGAGACTTACGCAGTCGTCTGTTTGTATGAATCGTTGAAACTGTCTGCGCATGTAGATGCATCCCAAAAATCTCTCCAGGGGAGACAGGTCTGGACCAGGAAGTCCAGATGGGTGTGGCGAAGGGCAAGAAAGCAATTCCAAAGCCTCGTGGGTAAGCAAGGTAGGCACTGCTCCAGCCCAGGAGCGTTGCGGTAGCACTCTAGAAATGTGTGTTCCTGTTTTGTGGTCCGAAGCCTGAGGACTGTGCAATGCAGCATGTCCTGGACTTTGGGCTGGTCGTGCTGGGGATGGTCTCGGTACATTAGGTGATCCTGGCCAATTGGAAGCAGCTGGCGAGGCCATGCTCTGCGAAGATGGAAAAGGACTCCCATCTATATGTCCTAAATAAATAATCAGTGTCAGAAAATATGGGATGCTCGCTTGAAATTCGTTTCTACTTCCTACCGGTTTGCATGAAGGACCCAGCGGGCGAATGNCCTGCCAAGTTTTTCAAACATCTATTTTACCCACATAATGCAAAATTTGTACTCTGAAAAAATATACATTGTAGAATTTCTTGTGGTCTCTCTAACGCTAAATAAAGTACAGAGTTTGTAATCATATTGGATAATTAGAGGATAGTGAGTTCTTCTATCCTAAAATTATCCTTGAACGCTGTTTCCGTTATATCGTGTGTACAAGTATTTATAAACAAATTTTGACTAATCTACTTTTTACAATTGCAATGTCTCTTACCGAAAGAAATTCACGTTTTTTTAGAACTGCTCTCCTAGAATTCCCCAAAAATGCGACTTAGTTGATCCAGGACGACTGGTTTGGTAGACAGAGGGGACTAGGAGAGTAAAGTAGGTCCTATTGAGGTGGTCCACCCATTATTCCCATGGGTGGCATACCCTGAATTCCATAGGGTCCTTGAGGAGGGCCTTGATTGCCGGCCATAGGAGAATGCAATTGCATTGCAGGACTTTGGATCTGTTGAGTCGGAGTCACTTGTCCACCGGCTGGTGACTGAACGACCTGCAACAATTAAGGTTCCATTTTTAGTCATACTAGACGAGAAAGAAGCTTCTAAAATTTATCGAGCAGTTTAACATGAACATTTACTTGAGACATAACCGGAGGCGGTTCCGAAGGCAGCGTCAAATTAGCTAGTAAATCTCTGACAGCAGGGAAAAGCGAACATTCGGACTGGTTTGCACCGTATTCTGCAAACCTCTTCAATTGTAGAGATGCTGCAGCCATTGCTGAGGCTGGACTAGGATCCCTTTTCTCTGCCAATTGCGTCACATTGGTATTAACATCGTAAACTAATGGTAAAACTAACGAGGGTGTCTCTCCTTGATATGGCAATCCGATTCTGGTTATTTGTAACTAAAATACAGACAGATCAAATTAAATTAAGCGATAGTTATTCTTCCGTATTAAAGCAAAATACACTTACGAAGAAAAGGATTTTATTTCTACAGACGAGCACAGCCGCCATGCCAGTGGGCACAATTGGTGTGCCCGAAGGAGGGATCCTAAGACACCATTGTACGTTCCATTTAAGTTGCTGTTGTTGCACTAACCCAGGCACCAGCTCGAGTTTCATTATTTGCACAAAATCTTTTAAAACGTTAAACGGAACGTTCAACATCCTACCAAATCCAGAGAGTGTATTTGGCTTATATGGAGGAGCTGCGGCTCGAGTATCAAAGAATTTCTCTATAATCTATCGAGAAAAATTAACAAATGAAAATATCAATCGAGTACGAGTAACATACAGTACAATTTACTAAAAAGTTACTTGTAGCTCTTCGAGGGTCCATTGGTCCTTGTGTTCAGGAAGCGGCTGCACTTTTATGTGCAACGACTGTAGATGTTGTGGGTTCAGACCAACTCGACACTGCAAGCTCTCTACTTTGAACTGTACAACCCCAGGCTCTGTACTGTTTATCGCAGTTAGCTGCAAAATAAATTGTAAATTAATCTATAGTTTAAAAACATCAAAATTTGAGACTTACGCAGTCGTCTGTTTGTATGAATCGTTGAAACTGTCTGCGCATGTAGATGCATCCCAAAAATCTCTCCAGGGGAGACAGGTCTGGACCAGGAAGTCCAGATGGGTGTGGCGAAGGGCAAGAAAGCAATTCCAAAGCCTCGTGGGTAAGCAAGGTAGGCACTGCTCCAGCCCAGGAGCGTTGCGGTAGCACTCTAGAAATGTGTGTTCCTGTTTTGTGGTCCGAAGCCTGAGGACTGTGCAATGCAGCATGTCCTGGACTTTGGGCTGGTCGTGCTGGGGATGGTCTCGGTACATTAGGTGATCCTGGCCAATTGGAAGCAGCTGGCGAGGCCATGCTCTGCGAAGATGGAAAAGGACTCCCATCTATATGTCCTAAATAAATAATCAGTGTCAGAAAATATGGGATGCTCGCTTGAAATTCGTTTCTACTTCCTACCGGTTTGCATGAAGGACCCAGCGGGCGAATGTCCAACCTGGACGTTGCTACATGGCCCAGGAGAAGATGTAGGCATTAAGCCAGCAGGGCTTGGTACATGCATTGGATTTAAAGGACTGTTTGCCACCAGTCCAGAACCTGGTGAAGGATGCGGCAACATGTTAGGTGTGTTAGGTGGCAGGGATGGTGGGGATGCTAAGTTGAAAGAAGTGGCTGGACTGCTTCCAAAACTTTGATGCTGATTTGTCTGGAAGAAAGTACATGTGTAATTTACTAGATAAACATCAGATGTCGAGCATGCGATAATTAAAAGATACCTGTGATATATTGGTAGTGTGCGGACTAGCTGGCGTGTGAGGATTGCTACCAGAAGGCGGAGTTAGTGGTGGATGGAACCGTAAACCATCTCGCTGCTGTGCAGGCGATTGTGGTCCACTTCTATGATGACTTAGAAAACCTACGTTTCCACTTCCACTACCTCCATCGCTATCCATTGTTACAGGAGAAGGTGGATTGTCATCTTCAGATTGTGACCTTCTGCGGAACACTGCACTCTCGTCTACATACTTAGAAAGAAAAGCCTGCAAACACATCGTTAACCATCAGACCAGAAGGCAGGATAGGTGTTGAACAGTACCATCGAGAATATTTCTTATGGCTTCTCACCTTCAGACCTTGCGTGGGTGTGAATTCATCAACAACATAACTTCTATCGAAGCGACTGTATGCTCCATCCCTTAGGCTCACTAAACCACCCCCACGTAAGCGCAGCTCCAGACAGTACATACCCTGATACGCAATTCTGACTAACGTGACGCACTGCGGCATGATTGTGAAAGTTTGCACCGGTACTTGAGGTCGCTACAAATAAACAAGATATACCCTTACAACATACTTGTAAAAATGTTAAAAAATTCGTCGAATGATTTGTAAAAGCTTACTGAATTGTAAACACAGAGCTGTGGAATCATGGGTAGTTTGCTGATTGATGTGAGTGGCTGAAGTGTTTCATGAAGAATGTGTATAAGCTGTGCTAAATTTCTATGCCTGTTTAAATGGGCTTCAAGTTGCTCTTTCATAATGGAGTGAGCATTCGTTGTGGTACTCGTTGGACCTGATTATAAAATAATTAATAAACAGTTAACATATAATAGCCTTTGATAAAGCAATACTAACTTTTTCCAAAAATCAGTTTGAACGCTTTGTCATTTGTATTCCATTGTATAGTGACAGTAGCTCCACGATTAGGACCGTACGCAAAAACTAACTTGCTATAGTTGTACGATTTTATGCTAACCATATTCCGTAAGCTGTATTTTTCTAGAAATACACAAAACATAAATAATTATCGGGAGCTTATATTTTAAAAAAAAGTACTATATTATAATTACCCATTTTGAAATATTCCGCTATATCATGCACCAAAGAATACAGGTGCACGATTTGCGCCCAGTCATTAAGCAGCGAATCTACTGTGCGTGACACAGTATCCGAAGTTCCCATTTCATACTGAAAATACACTGGTCTCCGCAAACCTAACAAAAATAAACAAATTATTACAAAGCACTTAGAAAACATTGATTCAGTTTAAACTACCTTGTTCTTTTGGATGATTACTAGATAAAGGGCTGCCATGGAATACAAATTCAGCCATCCACGTCTTCGCCATACCTTTACCCTGTACCCTAATCGATACACTAAGCAGTCTTTTGAGAAGTGCTTGCCACGAGCTGCTCGAACTTATTATACTAGAGGGGGCAGGTAATTGGACCAACTTCAAAACCAATGCAGTGGCGTGTGCTTCCACTTGCAGTCCTTGATGAGCTATGTCTCTCTTAGTTAATTCTTGCGCCAGAGTGACGAAAGGTATTCTCTCGTCGCAGAGAGCAACTACATGCGCCAACTCTGGAATGAAGTACGCAGGCTGCTTAGATCGTCTGTTCTGTAACGTTGTACTTGCGTCGGTCCTTCCGCTGGGCCCTGTACTCCTGCGCTTATTGTTGTATGTCTCGGTAGCTTCTGTAAAATGTTCGCATGGAGTTAAACTCTACCTTTGTTCAATCAATTCAAATAATTAAAACGAAACTGACCACTGTCGACACTGGTGAAGGGACCGTGAGTTATGACGAAAGTGTCAAATTCAATTAAAGTCAGCACTTTCAGATACATCTTTGGAATCTCTGTTTCAATGCTGTCATCGTGAGGATCATCTTCTACGGAACTATGCTTCACCACAGCAAGGTAGAACGAGCATTCAATCTCACAAGGAGAAGTTTCTTTCTCTTTGAATGCTACTATCAGTATAACTGTGGGATGTCGATGAAGTTGAACGAACATGCGGTGTCTACTGATCTTTGACATTGGATGCTCAGGGTGATGGAGAAGTGGCAATCGCTCGTGCGAAGTGGCTGGGAGATGTTGTAGTGTCTTCTCGCATCTCCTCTGCGTTATCCAGAACCTGAAATACATGATGAAGTGTGATGTGGAAACAAACACATGGGTAGAACAATTACCTGAGTTCTGATATCAAAGTTGGTAGTCGAGAATGATCACCGTTCAAGGTAGCAGTAAGTTCAGGTACCAAAGGCGCCTCATACTGAGGTACATGGCACTGTAACATTCCGGTGTGGGTGTCAACAGTGACCAAAAGATGTTCTGCTCTCAAACAAGGTTGCAAGATCGGAACAGACAAGATTGCCGGTGAACCAGCCAGGGTGCACTCAACATCTTTCAACATAGACTGTAATTCTTGCTTCAAATCCAGTAATCTACTTCTAGTGCGTACATAGATTGTGTGCACCAGCAAACATTCCATAGATAATTGGTCCGATCTAATTGCTCTGTCTGCTATTTCGCTTTCCTTACTGCCTAGCGATGGAACGTGCACTATCGCCAGCGATCTAGCTGGATCATGCTGGTCTACCTGAACTGTAAGCTTGTATCCTAACTCAGATCGCGGATCTTTATTTGTCAGCTCTCTCCAGTACGACACAGATAGACATTTCCCTGGTGTGTATTCGTCTACATGAATATGGTCATCCAATCTGTCCCGTATCAATCTCAGTGTTTGAGAATATAGTACTTCCAGCTGAAGCGATTGGCAAAAATAGTGCAGAATGTGGTAAACTTCAGACAGTGGGTTTGTACTTTCTGCTAATCTTGATTGGACCACCTAGTAATTAAAATAAATTTTATTTTATCAGAATAGTAGAAATATATCTAGTAATTTTTAGAACAAAAATGATACCTGATGAACATATCGTGTTTGCAAAGGATGGACCAAAGCTTTCCCATCACCAGTTTCCCTATCAGAAACCAAAATTTCTAATTCCAACAATCTCCAGGGCACAGATGGACCATCTCCCATAACAGTAAGCGATACTGAAAATTCTTGTTCAACAAGAAATATTACTCTTCCTGCCTCAATTCTTAAATTTCGCATCTGTGGAAGCAGATTCCCCGTTACTAATCTGTGCTGAATAACTTGATTCAGTCTCTGAAGTGTACTTCTTTTCTCTGCTGGCGTGATTGGATCTGGAGGAACAATTCTCTCCTATTAAAAAAGAGATTTATGTAATATCATTCCTTTTGTAAACATTAATAAGTGAAATTTACTCTTATGCATGCTGGCAAGCGGCTGTATGTTCCAGTTGTCAGAACTTCCACTGCAGCAGGAATATGAAAATTGGGCAATCTTGCATGAACCAATGTTTCTCGAGCCATGCGTGCTAACATATCAGCAGTGTCAACAAAAAGCAATGATTGCTTATCCAAGAAGGCCATTATGTGCTGTTAATAAAACACTTTGATTATTAAAATGTAAAACAGAATTTCAACAGTAGAATAGAATGTCTAATGTACCGCGGATTTGTCAACTTTGGAAGCACTATTTGCCCATTTAACCAATGCAAGCAACCGTACATATAGTTGTCTAGTTCTAGCAGAGAAGTTGTAGATCTCAATTTTCCTTTCCATATCAGTTTTCCTTGGTAATCTGTAAATGTATAATGTATAATATATAAATGTATAATATTGCAATAACAAAAGAATATTTTTGTAACATAAATTTCCTTACAATTCGGCCAAAACTGTAAGTTCATGGTAAGTCCGTTGTATAATGAAATCGATCAGTATGCCAAGGGAAATATTTCCACCACGATTTCCTTCCTGCGGGATGTTGTTTGTAACAGGAGTTTGATGTCCTTCCAAAGGCACCGGAGCCATTTTGTGCCTTCTTCAGATCAAGCGATCTAGGACTTATTTCAATAAAACAAGATTACGTCTTCTGAAATATGAAAACATTTCTTATATTTACAGATCAAATTACAGATATAGAGAATCCTTAATTATCAAATGTCAATCCTTAAAGCCTGACATATCTTTTTGTAAATTTTTATAAATTCTCACTTTGGGTAGGAGATTTGTTTCCTTTTTTCCGTCAGTTGCCATCAGAACTAACTAAATATAATTTCTAACATTATTGCATACTCTGTGACAGTTTCATCAAAGCTTATACATAAGTTAACCACAGTTTTCGACAAAATCACATTCCAATCACCAGATTTACTGATTCTATTTATCAACTTTACACGATTTCATTAATACTATGTATGATTATTTAATACCAATTTGTTACAAAATCTAATTCCCAAAATCTAGACTAAGTATTTAATGAATAATCTCTAAATAAATAAGACGAAACTCAATTAGTCATGTCCGTAATAATAAATTTGTTGTTGATGAAATTCTATCGGAGGAGAGTAGTTATGATAAAAAATATGATTAGAAAGAACATAGTCTTACTTGTAACATTTATTTTTCAATATTGAACCTTCCGACAACACGATCCTAAGGTGAAAGCGAAGAGGATCCTCTTTTGGAGAAAGCAGCTTGTACCTTTTCAAATTGGTCATATACTTTAAGATACTAGATAGAACGGTCACTGGTATTTTGTGTATTTTGATTATTCAGAATGAGTCATCTACATTTAATATGGTGAACTAAACATAAAGACAAATTCACAGTATGTAATGGAATCTGTGATACCGACATTATTCACTTTTTCCCCCTTTCTTCTTCTCTACATTATTTATGATACTAATAATAATTATTGCGCTTTACGATTTGCATTTCTTCGAAATCATAGTTGAGCCATATTTTGCAATGCAATTGTCGAGAAAATTAGATGTTTGATTTTTATAACCAATGTTTAGAGGACTTGCCCATTAAACTCCCATTCATTAATATGTAATAATAATATTCCTATTAATAAATTTATTCGTTGAATACGAAATAAGAATATACAAAGAACATTCCTTTCATTTTTTGACTGTATGATAATACATTTCATGGAAATGTTTTCGGCGCAAAAGTACACTAATACTGGACGCTATATGGCAAGTTTGAAAATAACTTATGGATCAATTACAAAAATAGCAATGATTGCAACAACGTCCGCTAAACAAGGTTAAACAAAGTGAAATGTTATTTTTATGCAAGAATACCGATATGTTTTTGTATATTCTTAAAATAACTTTTAAACCTTTGTCCGAAATCTGCTGTGTAGTATTCCATAGATGAGGCATGAGTGTAGATCGGCCAACCAATGCATTTTTCTCTAGACTTTATTCGTATCGTTTTCCTTGTTACCGATAATTCACGAATTTAGACTTCTTATTGAGAATCGAGTATTTTGTATGCTTAATTTCTACTACGGATTACTCGGTACGATTTGAAGGCAACGTATTCGTATGGCGCGTACATTTGAATAGTGAAAATGGTATCTAAAAAATATAATGTACAGAAATAAAATTTGTTATAGAGGTACTGGTGCAATCATGTCGATTTATCATTACAAGAAAAAGTATATCGTAATTATATTCATGATACACTTGACAATGATACAAGTTGTCTTTTATATTGAATAATTTCATACAAAACAGTTTTGGCAGCTTTACCTTAGAGATACGATGAGTTGAAAATTCTTGTGTTCGCGGAGCAACATTGTATTTTTAGAGCTGGCAACGTTGTGTTGCAGTCTTATGTAGTTCACTGACTGACTGTTGCATTTTAGTAGAGGGTGCGAGAACACCTACGAATTTTGGCAATGTCGGTATTTAAGATTGTGTGACACGAAAGCCCCTATGGCGATAGATCTACATGTCTCGTCAGGGGTTGTATGGAAAATTCTTTATTGATCCTCTTTGGTTAAAACGTCATCGACGAATTTCACAACTAGAGGTGAACGTGAAAGCATCTCTACGCATTGTTTATAGTATACAGGAAGAACAGTTAACGAAATGGAAGTGACTAAATGGAATGAATTTACAATAGAAGCATCGATCACACGCGATAGGAAACGTGTTTATTATCATGCTAAGGATGGTATGGCTATTGCAGTTTATCTTCTATGCAGTAAAGCATCACCCGAACTAGTTGATCAGCTGATTAACCAGAGGGTAGTGGAACGCGACGGACATGAATGTACACCTTTAATGATAGCTGCCCGATATGGTCATGATAAAGTAGTGAAAATATTACTCGATAAATTCAAGCCTGATCTGGAGCAAGAGGGCACAGTGAAGTTTGATGGACAGGTTATTGAAAAAGTCACCGCACTATGGTGTGCTGCTGCTGCGGGATACTTAACAGTCGTGAAATCTTTAGTAGAAGCAGGTGCGAATGTCAATCATCCAACTGCCACTCATTGTACACCTCTAAGAGCGGCTTGTTTCAATGGACGGTTGGACATAATCAAGTATTTGGTAGACCATCATGCAGATATGAACATTGCGAATCATTTTAATAATACATGTCTGATGATTGCAACATGCAACGGCCATTTAGATGTTGTAAGTATAATTATGAGTTTGATAATGTTTCTTCGTGGCCCAAGAAGTTTACAAAAAATGTTTTGTTCTGAATTCAGTCGGATTAAAGTAACAAGATTGATCTCAGCAATTTTAATTTGATTTTATATCAAAACAGGTGACATTTCTTTTAGAAATAGGTGCAAATCCAAATGAAAAACAAAATTGTGGTGCCACAGCTTTGCACTTAGCTGCAGACTGTGGACATGTGGCCATAGTATGCGAGTTATTGAAATTTAAGGCTGAAATGACTAAGAATAATAATGGAATGACACCACTGATGATAGCAGCAGAGCGTACCAGATCAAAAGTTGTGAAGTACTTAATAAAATGGACACCTGTCAGTACAGAAGAGATGATTGATGCGTTTGAACTTCTAGGTGCATCTTATGCAAATAGTGCAGCACACAAAGACAGTTATCCTTTATTAAAAGCATACAAATATTTGAGAAAAGCAATGGAACTTAGGTGTGTATTGAAAGCAACATTCAATTTGAAGTTGGATAGATAATTATTGGATATTACAGGTTTAACGATCCTGAAAATATAATCTACAAAACTTTAGGTGAACCAGTGAAGGCGTACAATAATTGGAAGGAAAGTGAATCATTAGAAGAACTGGATTCCATTCAGTTTGATACAAATGCTATTCATATGGAGTCCTTAGCTATTCGAGAGAGAATTCTAGGTGTTTGTTCTACTTTTTAAAATTAGTAACTGAATCAATAAATTAACAGGAAATATTATTTTTATTAAATTTTAATATCAGGGCAGCATAATCCGGAAGTAACGTATCACATACTCATTAGGGGTGCAATATTTGCTGACAATGCTAAATTTGATAGATGTATGGAACTGTGGCTTCATGCTCTATATTTAAAACAGTTAAATAACGTTTCCATCGTAAAAGATCTTCCTATGTTTACAAAGGTATTCTAACAGAATATTGTTCAAATCAATATAACGCCTCAGTTTATTTTTTTCTCTCGCTTCCGTTTATAGATATTCTCACAAATGATACTCGCAGGAGCCGAGATCGACTTCTCTCAAGTTTTAAGTGTTTTGCTGGCTATTGTAACAGTATTTATCCGCAATAAATTGAGAATGAAGAGTTTGCACTCTAAAGAAGATATTGAACAGTATGTTGTAAGTTATAATAACAAAGTTTAGCTTTTTATAGGTTCAACAAACAAATTTTAACATTTACAAGACAAAATTTGTTTACAAAGGAGGAAACGGAATTGTGCATCACGAGCGCACTGTATATATTATCGATAGTAGCAAAACTTTTAGCAGTGAACGAAAACAAAATACTGGATCAGGATATAGCGAATGCATACTGTCTAGTCCACAAACTGTGCGCTCTAGAATTGCGCTTAAAGGATGGACAAACGTTGTTGCATCTTGCTGTGAATGCCAATACAGTTGTCGATGACGTCGACACTTATAAATTCCCATGTGCAGCAACAGCAAAGTTGCTTATACGTTGCGGAGCTGATGTAGATGCAATGGACAATAAAAGGAATACTCCCTTACACGTGATTGCTAGTTGCAAAGTGCCAAAGTATATATATACATGTATTTTATTGGTTCTCCTTGGTAATACAATTCTATCATTACAATATCTTCTTACTCTATCTTATCCAACGTTTCCTTAAAATTACATTGTATCTTGTATCTTACGAAGATCTCCTTTACCACTTCTTGCTATCTTTTGTCCCTATCCCCTTTCACATATTCTTTTCATATGAAAGAACCACTAATTTATTTCCGTCTTGAAAGCACTAATAAATCTTCTTTAATTTTTACAGTAGCGCACTTTTAAAAACCCTTTACTCTATTATTAAGGATCTCAGAGAAGCTGGAGCTCACATGGATATTGTAAACAAAAGGGGTAGAACTCCTTTTTATGCGGTTTATTCAGGTACCAACATAGAAATTTCGAACCAAAGCTTGTATATAAAAATGATTTGTTAATTACTATAATTTGGCTATTTATATTGTTTTTTGTTTACAGTTCATTTAGAAAATTTATTGAGGAGTCGGAGAAAATTGTCTCTGAAATGTATGGCCGCGAAGGTAATAAAAACTTACAATTTGCCATATTGCGGAAAGGTTCCGCTTTCTTTGGAAAGTTTTATCGAATTACACGGCCCAGGAGATAATTAAGGTTGACATTATTGTCATGTGATAACATTTTTTAACGAATCCGTTATAAATAATCTACATTTAAATAACAAGACTCTTGCCATGATTCAATTGTATATAAATTTTATTGTTCAAGGATATGAACATTGGAATCTGGAAACGATCGTCCAAATAGCCAAAGAATAATAGACAGTTGTCTGATAGCTATTTATGTACTCATTAAGCGTGGAGTTTGTTTTTTAAACTAAAAACAAAAAGATATATTTATATTTATACAAGTAACCTATATTACATAACAGTGCAATTGTGATTTTTCTAAGTCAAGAGTATAATTAATGTTTTAATCGTGCATAATCGATGTTACGTATGAAATGTATCTGTTTGTTAACGTAAAACAATAAAATATGAAAGTCTATACTGCTATTTGTACAATTCTGTGAAAATTTGAAAATACCGCGCTTTATGAACTGAATTAGGCTACAGTTATAGAAAGGTTATAATGGCGCTAGTGAAACATGAATATCATCTTTGTACATATATGTATAGTTGATAAGTATAATACATACAGTGTGAGTGCAGCAATCATTTGTTATAGGTTGCGCCACATGGTCTAAAAACGTGATGTGCACGTACTTTTTAAGGTTTTGATACATTAGATCTACTACTGTGTTTAAACAATATTATTTATACAGTACTATATTTATAAATATTTGGGAGCAATGGAACTCTTACAAGACCCTATTAGACAAGACGCAATGGTGTAAGTATATTTACAGATCAGACATAACCTTCAAAATGTTTCAAAGCTTTTCTTTATCGAATATAAATTAATGCTATTATAATTTAGAATATAAATTGTTTACAGATTATGCTGTATTTGTGGCACTGGTATTCAACCCAATGCCACTAACATGTGTGTAGCCTGTTTACGGACTCAAGTTGACATTACCGAAGCCATTCCAAAGCAAGCAACTATCCATTTCTGCAAAGGATGCGAGAGGTGAAATATTTGATCTTGAATTAACTTAGATGTAAGTGTAAGCAATGACATCAAACGCCAAAATTTTGTCAGATATTTGCAGCCACCTGCAGAGTGGATTCATGCAGCATTAGAATCCAGAGAATTGTTAACACTGTGTTTAAAGAAGTTGAAAGGTTTAAATCGTGTGAAATTAATTGATGCTGGATTTGTTTGGACAGAACCACATTCGATGAGACTAAAGGTATTTATAAGATAGTAATATTATTATGATGATATCATTATACATTATCTTGTGATATTGTTCAGGTAAAATTAACAGTACAAGCAGAAGTAATGAGTGGTGCAGTTTTACAACAAGTGTTCATAGTTGAATATACTGTAAATCATTACATGTGCGATGACTGTCATCGGACTGAGGCAAAAGATTATTGGCGTGCCCTGGTAAGTTTTGTAAAACAATAATTTCCATTTGTTTCTTCATCTTTTAATCATAATCTGTTTTTGGTAGGTACAAGTTAGGCAACGGTCCACAAATAAAAAAACGTTTTATTACTTGGAACAATTAATTTTGAAGTACAAAGCACACGAACATACATTAGGCATAAAACCTATTCATGGTAATAGCTGGTTGCTAAAATCTATAGCCAGAAGATTTTGTAAAAGTTACTAAATAAGTTGTAAATTTTATTAGAGGGCCTCGACTTTTTCTATGCAAATGAAGCAACGGCACGGAAAATGGTTGACTTCCTCTCGAGTGTAGTACCTTGTAGATACGACCATTCCAAGAAATTAATATCCCACGACATACATAGTAATATCTATAATTACAAATTTACATACAGGTAAAACATCTCTTAAGAGTGTTACACCAAATTTAATTAAAGATTGGTAATTGGATAATAACTTTCTTTATTTTCTAGTGTGGAAATAGTTCCAGTATCAAGGGACAGTATTGTATGTCTGCCAAGAAAACTAAGCCACCAATTGGGAGGAATAAACTCAATTTGCTTGGTATACAAGATGACGAATGCCATTCACTTAATAGATGTAGCATCCGGTCAAAGTATGTGACACACTTTTATCATTTATCTCTTTTTTTGTGTTGTATTAAATGTTATTATTGCAACAGTTGCAGAAGTGAATTCTACACTCTACTGGAGGCACAATTTTAATAGTATTTGTGATCCAAAACAGTTAATAGAGTATACAGTAATGGATATTGAACCTATAAAATTCAAAGACAGAAAATTTTTCCCAGGACAGGGGGCAATTTCTAACAAAGTACGGTATATTCTATAATTTTATGTAACAACAATTTTATATAAGATCTTATAATACAGTTCCTATTTCTAGCATGTAATTGCAGACGTATGGTTGGTTAGAAGCTGTGATTTGGGAATCAATGAAAATTTAATTCACACGCGTACTCACCTTGGTCACATACTCAAACCAGGTGACGCTGCTTTAGGGTAAAGAAACGAAATCTGAAGTCTAATAGTGAACAAGCACAAAATTTGCAAGATAATCCTTGTTTTGTAGGTATGCAATTAGCGACAGTAATATCAACGATAATAATTTTGAAATGCTGAATAAAGATTTGGTACCCGACGTAATTTTGACCAAGAAAAGTTATACAAATGATAGAGCAACACGTCACAAGTTAAGAGCATGGAAACTGAGACATATGCTCCAAAATGGAGAGAACATGAATGCAGATAATGCGTAAGTAGTAACTAATGACTTAATTTATTCCGATAATAGAAAGTTGTAGTATTTTTTTTTTTAAATTCTAGTGACTATTACGAATTTTTGGAGGATATCGAGGAGGATCTGGAGATGAGACAAAATATAAATATCTTCAGAGATCGCAAGAAAATACCAGTGGACTCCAACAGTTTAACTGATCCTACTTGTCCACAAGTTACTCTTGAAGAAATGCTTGATGATCTCACAATCGATGATATTCAAATACCTGAAGTTCAGGAAAACTTCGAATAAAAAGGTAATATTTCTTTCCAACAAGTTTGATTGTTACAAGTTCTAATATGCTTCATAAACATTTATCATTCACTTCGAAAAAAGTTAGATTCGAGAGAATTTTTAAATTCCAAACATTCGTTTATTTCATTAGTTTTATTTTTGTTTAGTGATAATTAATATTTTCTTCATATTCTTGTAAATTTAAACGAATTCATTCGGATATATGTGTAGGAGCGCGAGAAATGTTTGAATAGTTATTGTAGGCGGAAAATAAGCTTTAAATATGGTTATTATTATAAATCACAAGTAAATAACAAAATTGAAGGGTACATATTTCCAGCTGCCCTTGAACGAAGAAACAGAGATTCGAAGTATAAAAAATCAATTTGTATATTAAATTACTGTCAGTCCATAATTGAATTGATCCAGAATGGAAAATAACACAAAGAGCTTCTTCAATGAAATATGTACTTTGACTTTTCAATTACAAATAGTAGGCCTTCGAATTGAAATGAGACGTTAATGGCAGTTATATTATTATCCTAATGTCCAATCAACAGATAATATAAGGAACTCGAATGTCATCAACACTAGTTTAAACAATGTCATATATTCTCTATATTTCTGATTAAATATTATTCAAGTGATAAAGCTATAGTAATAGTGTCAATATCACGTATACATAAATATAAAAAATAAAATTTTGTATGCTAAAGGAAAAGGAACATCTGCTTTTTCTGTTTTGGTTTTCCTTTTACAGTCACAATTATGAAATTATAATTCAATGACTAGATTCATATAAAAGACGCTAGTTTATTTGAATTGTTAACTTAACTCTCTAAGCAATAGAACATCTCGAAGGATTTGTGTGTGTGTAATAAAAAGCAATTTGATCATGTACAATAGAAAGACTTCGGCTAATCAATCAGAACGTGTAAATATCTTTGATTGTAAAGTTCCATTGTTAGCACACCTATAACTGTTACTGCATTATGTATCGAGTTGCCAGAGTCTCGTATCAATCTGATCGAGCGTTCTATGTCTCCTTTCAGTTCTACATATTGTTTGTTCAACAAGAGCCTTTCTAAAGTCTGCATGGCTTTGATAGCCTCTGTGCTGGGTCGAATGTCCATTGAATCTGGATCTGCTGTTCTCACCGGTGCTACTCCAGGCGAGTGAGGATTGTATCTCACCAACTGTTGCTCTGATTTTGATTCAGGCAATTGTGCCAAACAGTACACACCTATCGCTCGACTTAAAAATTTGCACCTGAATAATAAAGATTCTCTATTTAAGATTCATTCTGCGTGATAGTTTTTTAAGATTAAATCAATTAGTCTTGAATACCTCACAGACAGCTGATTTCCTTTCTTAAATCCAATAGCTCCCAAGATATCCCAGGTTTGTCCCCCGTCATCAGCTATTGTTAATAACACTCGTGCTAAACTTTTAAGCACTCTAACAGCAATAACAGTATTTTCATTGTACTGACATTGTCTGTACACCAATTCACAAGTTTTGGCCCATAACAGAGGTAGCTTTTCCTCATTGCTATCCCTAATAAGTTAAAAAAGCCTATAATTGACACCATAACTCTTGTGAAATTGACTACTTACGTTGGCCTTATAGCAGAAATCCAATCGACTAGATTTATGAGATATTCCCCCTCCTCTTTGATGTTTTGGCATAATGGTAGTTGTTTAAGTAAGACAGAGTACAACGTAAGAATCCTTCCCTCAGAAACCAGCACTGTGTCCAGTGCTGGCTGTGGCGATATTGTTGGTTGCAAAATGGTTAAAACTGATGCCCATGTTGACTGCGTTTCTTCAGATGCTGTAATAAGTTTTATGTAATCCTTAGCAAAAGTTGGTTAATTTTTTGTCTTATCTACCATTAAATTTGAAATATGCTTCCAATGCAGCCTCCATTAACTCTCCAAGTATGGATGACGAGGTAATCGTTGTGTTCATAACTCTAAGGACAGCTATGAGAATTGGATTGCTAGCTGTCCTTTTCAGTAACCATGAGGCCCAACTGGCGCGCAGGTACTCCATTAGAAGTTCACTTTGATTGATAGTGTGAAATAGTTCTGTTATCAATAAACCGGCTTCCGCGGTTTGCTGTGACTCCGGAACAGCTAGAAGGTATTGTCGCTTTTATTAACAGCTCAACATCAAGTTATATTGTGTACTCACTGTTCGTGATAACAGCTTCCATGTCATCTAACATTTTCAGTAATGTATTACTAAACAATTTTGGACTCGTCGACAACAAAGATTTATATCGAGTCGTACAACTGATCAATAATTTTACTGACGCACGAACATACATCTGTTTCTTTTTCAAAGTAGTTGCATGAAAGTTAGTTACAAAGGGGCTGTATCCTGCTGACACCTTTAACAGACTGTTAATTTTAATTTTAATCAGCTAGAGTGCATGTTCCCTTGCGATCGTTTGCTATGCATAATCCTCAAGTTATGCTTACTTATTCACGGCGATGTCTATAGGATGACACTGGTCACTATCTACATTAAGAATAACTTTTGGATCACAGCTCATAACGTGCCAATTAATTACCGGATCATATGCAGTTGCATCCAATAAATGCCACGAGAATTTTTCGATTTCATTGATTAATTGGACTGCTTTCTCATTCTGAAACACAGCAGATTTTACATAAATAATTAAGTTTGATACATTAAAACAATTGATAAATTCATTTTATACCTGTCTAACATTTGGTTCGGTGGACAATTTAACTAATAAATTTAACAAACAAACATGAATTCTTGCTGTGATTGGAAATGGTTGAGTCACCACAAATTCATTCATCCAAGCTGACCAGTTCACGTTTATGTATATGCTCCCAAGGAATAAATGGCACTCTGGTAAGTATTGATCAATAACTTTTATCATCAGCTCTATGTCATTTATTCCTGGATAAAAATGGTCCCATGGCAATGACAGAAAGTTTCCATGAATAACACCTAGTATATGATTCTTAACAGAAGCATGTGCAAAATTGGTAACATAGAACTGCCAGACGAAACTTAGGATCTTGTTAGACGTTGGCAATGTGTCGATAATGAAACGAATACATTCAACAAACATTGCCACAATTTTATTAGCGTAAGGACCGTCTGTAATGATCCATGGCAACAAAACAGATCTGTCGTCTGTGAGTTGCTGGATCCATGCAGCTGTGGGCTCTTTTAGATTTCGTGTCCAGTATGGTGTAATCCACGGAGAATACATATCGCTTAATACGGGCCACATTTTCTCGCATACTTGAAAAAATAAATTAAAATTTGTTATGCTCGTGGTATATTTATATATATATATATATACATGCAAAGAATTTGATCAGCTCACATTGAACTCCCAAAGAACCTCTATCAGACTGAAGAGTAAGCACAACCAGAGCATGACCTACCATGCCAAGAAATACAGTCAGTGGTTCATTGTAAACCCTATACTTCGGATACAATCCATATAGACCGTATTGTAAACGTTCTTGCATAAAGTGTTTGCTTAATAATATAGCTGTATCGAACATCTAGCACCGAGTAAATAAATCGATGAATTATATTACGATCATTCACAACACTGTGTATATAGAAATGTAAATATACCTCTTGTCTGGAGAGTAATCTTTGTTCAGTAGCATAGTGACGAATATCATCCCTGATTTTACATGCCTGAATGGAAAACGAATTTTTTGGCTTGCCACTAAGAGTCCCTAATAGATCACGCCAAACATCCAACGATAAATTTTGACTTTCACTGCTTTTCAATATAACACTTAAAACTTCACCATAGTGTTCAGGGAATTCGTGTAATAGAACTAGTCGTAAATGGTTTCTAAACAGCTGTTGGAGGATGTATATCATTAAGATCAATGAAACAAATCAGTCTTGCTAAAATACAAGTGTACCTCGTGTAATATTAATTTTTCTTTGTCAGGATTAAGGCCCATATTACACAAAGCTCTAGACACCAGATCTATAAATGTTGATCGTTCGCTTAGCTTTGGACGTCTATAGTTCAACCAACTTCCTATATCAAACTAACAGAAAAGAGAAGTATTTATTACGAATGTAATAAATTGTTATACCAAAGACGTTACCTTCGATAACAATACGAAACATAGGTCAACATTCTTTCCAATTGACAGCTCAACAACTGTTTGGTACATTTGTAAAAACTTCGATGCCCCACCAGCAACAGGTGTAAAATATGGTCCAAGTAAACCGCCAAGGTTTGGTCTCTGCATTATAGTACTTAACAATTGTGGACCTTGATTTTCCTCTCCACTGATAAACAACTTTTCAAATATTGCGTTTCAATTAAAATATGTTATACAGTGCTATTCATGAGATTTAAAGATTGTACCAACCTGCCCCAATCTTTCTAAACAAGTTGTAATAAGCTGCTTCGTCGGTGGACAGAATGCTGCCTCCTCTGTATAACATTCTATGAGGTAATAAAACAGTGTAACACCACTATCTTGAATTTTATACAACATTGCAGTGTTCTCACTGGTCCTGCTTAAAATGACTTCATGCTCTAACATTCTGCAGAGCGATAATGAAGAATTATTACTGATTTTCATATTCTGTTTCGCATATAGCTGTAGAAGGAATCCATTATACATACGCAATTAGATGGTCTATAAATACACATCCTTGAGTAACCTTGCTAGGTGGTGGTTGACTAGCCTTTATCAACAAGTTCTCATATTCTGCTCTGTTCTGAGTTACCATACTGTCAATCCCATCACAAACATGTGCTTCCGATACCTAAGTACCAAAATATAATATGAATAGTTGCTATACACATTAACATTCATGATTCCTACCTTAATTCTAATTACTGCTGCGCCAGCACAATGGACGGTAGGCGGGGTTCCTGACCTGGATCGTTTCTGATTCGATGGCACTGAGTCACAAAGAGCATGCAATGTTATTTGATTTTCAATCTCCCGATATAGCGTAGGCACTAATTCCAAGAAATTACAATCCACAGCTGTGTGCTCGGAAATCAACAAATTATGTGTTTGGGCGTAATCCAATATAGTTTTAAAGTATGGTCTGACGAAGTCAATAGTTGCTTTGGAGTTATACAAAATATCTGTGGGTATGTAGTTCAGGACACTTTTAAAGCGGTTTAGAGTCGGTGGAGGGACAGGATGTTCGTACATGGTGAATCTTTTAAAAATCCTTTGCAATGGATCAGTTATGTCTAAAAATGTGATCAATGTATTCGTTCTATTCTGGAATTGATTATCTTGATCTCTATGACAGTAGCTCTCCCATTCATGGACTGCTTTCCTTTGATTTTCTTCCACTGTCCAATAATCAACGTATTCCAACCACGGAGTCTAACAAAAATAATATCATAAAGAGAGTTATATTTTCATACGTTTCTACAAGAAAGGAATATTTCACCTACCCAGTCCTCCTGTACGAGTAAAATTAATTTTTGCGACATATATTGCTTAGGTAAAGCTGATAGGTAAAGACCTGGTTCCTGTAGCCTTGGTTCCTCAAGCCACAGACTTAATGTTTTGTAAAATCTATAAAAGTACAATTACGAAGAACTTTTCTCTGAAGATTATAGTTTCATTGTTACATACTTTGCTGCATTGAAATAAAACGTTCGCCTCTCATCAGTAATCGGTTTCCCATCATCTAAATCTCTTTCTCCTTTTTGCTGGATGTACATAGTAGTGTCATGTAATCGCTTTTTGATTTTTTTCAAGTAACTTAAATTAATCATGCCTTCGAAAAACTTTTCACCAATCCCACCATGATCGCCGACTCTATAAGAGCAAAATATAATGTTATTCAGACATTTAAGAAACTAAGTTTTGTTTTTGAAAAGAACCTTGTCGTTGATGGAACTCTTGCAAGGAATAAAGCGAAGAAATTTTGCCATAAAAGAGGAAGAAGTGGATGGTCCATGGGAGTGTCCAATGCTTGTGAAGACCAACGATATATAAAAAGCTGATGGACTGCAAATGGTTGCATTTTTACAGTCGTGCAAGCTCTCTAAAAATAAGATCTTGAGATTAGGATATTTTTGTTATTATTGTTACGTTCACGATTGTTTGAGATTCATAAAGCACTTCTTTATGAAATTACCTTAACAGCTGTGTCCAACGATACTTTATTCTGTGTGGATAACTCCTTCAAGATTTCGCGCCATAGACCAGTTTTAATTTCTCTATTGTATTGTTCGACCGACAATACTTGATAAGCGACCCAAACTGATTGTATTTTGCCACTTAAAATGCTAGCTGAATTTGAAGAGCCAGTTGCCCAGTTTAAAAATGACCCAAATGATGCCACGACTCGAGTGGGAGCTGTGTTCTACAAACAATTTATTAAACCATTGAGCTTTTATATTCTAGTCAAATTTGTTCGAAGCAACTAAAACATAAATATTAAATAAATTACTATAATGACAAAAATACATAATAATCAATGAATTGTATAAAATGATATACAGCGTGAGAGACTGTAGATAGCATGTTAGCGTCAATGTGATTGAATCTAACTGAAAAGAGATTCTGGAACAAGGAATCCACTGCCGCTTTCGCTTCAGCATAGAAAAATGAGGAACTAAGCACGGTATCCATCAAGTACATCACGCTTTGGTCTTTGTTCCAATCCGGTACAAGCACGAGCGCATTCAACCACAAATGAACGAAGTTTGTTGGAGTTTGCAAAGCGTATCTGTAATAATTAATCAATGAATTTGATCAATTTAATTACAAAGAAAACCGCAATTTACCTTTTATAGTTACGCAAATGTGATTGTATCATATTTGAGAAGTGTTTTAGAATCGTTCCAGGAAATTCTGTGGCTATAAAACTTTTCGCCATGTTCATGTAGGATCTATCAGCCGTAATTAAAGAGACAATTAGACTAATAAATTTGTCGTCTTTTAGCAACGAGTCAACGCAGTCCAAGAACAATGGTACGATATGATGTAAGCATATAAGTACTTGTTCATATTTACAGTGAGACTGTAATATCTGCAATTGACTAAAACCCTTTAAACATATCAGAGGCAACGAATGGCCCCATAAGGTCATAACTATGGCTACGTAGCACGCGATCGGTTGCTTATCAGCGACGCCAAACACCAAAACTTCCAAGGACGTATCGATGTCCATGTCAGGTACATGAGCCAAAGCATTTGCTGGGTCCATTAATGTATGCTGACAAAGTGCCTCGGTTTGATCGAGTTGATGTAACTTGAGTCTGGTGATCACATCCCATGCCCAGAGTGAGAAAATTTGCTCAGCGTTCTGTGCTCTTATCATTGATGAGACCTACGAATCCGAATTCAAAGTAACACAAGTATTTTAAAAATGAAACATTAATGTTGTAATTAAAAATCCATGCCTGCTTAACACCTTCCGCCAACAAGGACGCACTTTCAACTGGAGGTTCACGCACATACTTCATTGTGAGCTCAACAATTAACAATGCTATACGTCTGTGTAAATCAATTGGAAGATGTAATTGACCGTCCCTATAACAGATAGATGAACTGAAGAAAATGGTCCAATAAGCATAGAAAAAGTGTCCCTAAATCAAATTGATTTGGGTTCAAAAGAGGGTTAAAAAGTGTCTTTACTCGTTGAAGCCCCAATTCAGATGGCTAAGAATTAATCGAGCCAAATGATTCTCAGTGGATGTTAATGGATGTTGATGTAACCATTTGGAGAGAATATTTATGTCTTCTTCCTGTGGAATCCACTTGTCCAGTTTTAAATCAGTGAATAAATACAAACTTAACTGAAAATTGAAGTTTATTAGATATTTATCGTACTCTAGAGAAAATTAAGAAATTGGATATTACCTTCCCAACAGATTCAAAGTTATCATTTAATTTGTGCAAGATATCCGATAGAAGCGATGGATATTTATTAATTAAATTTGGTAAAAGAGACTGCGCATCTTTTGAGCAAGAATCCTGCGTCTTTTCACTGAGGAATCCAATCTATAAGTTACGGTCGCGGTTAAATATTTCAAACTTTTGTATAGGATAATATACGATACATACTTGAAACAAGTCAATAG